ACGTATATCAGTTTATGCATATAATGAAGTTATGCATTTTTGTTCCAGGCTTTAAGCCTGTTTTCATTTTTGGTGATCAATTTTAGTTTTCATAGTTCTTACATCATATAAGCTTATATGAAATAATCTTTTTGCTCTGGGACTGGGGTGGATTAGAGGGGCTGAGAAGTTGAGAATGTTGAAGGGTTAATTCAACAAAAGGAAAAGGACGGATGAATTGGAGCAAGAATGCACTGGAGGGTGGGGAGATAGGCTCGTTACATTTTTGTTTGGTTTTGTATTACTATTTTTACTGGTTTTGGTAATTTTTCTTTTCAACGAGGTGAAACACAGGATTTTCTATCTATTGCAACAGAAAGATACAAATTTTGTGTTCTTCTGTGGGATGCCGAAGCAGCTCATCACTAGGTACTAGACATTCCTTTCATTTGAATATCAAGTTTATGTTGGGCTGCCGTTTTACTTCTGTATCATCTTATCATTTAAGTTGTCTTAGTATGTTCAAGTTTTCTGTATACTGATATGTTTGTTATGTTCCTTGTATTGGATTCAAGATTATTTGAGCAAAGGCTTAGGCAATGCTCTTAGTACTGCAGTTTCAAAATTTCAATATGGAAAACTTGGTAAAAACAAGCGTGATCTGGTCAATGATGTTGGTGTATTTCTATATATGTTTAGATAAACCCTCTAAGATCTCTGTAAATCTGCTCAATTTCCAAGTTACAGAACATCGTTCATGTGTGGGGTTACAGTACTGCTTTTATAACATCAGTATATACTAAAATTGTGGGACGCCCTTCGGGTGGTAAATTAGTGTAGGAGTATTCCAGACAAATTTTTTGATTGCCTTATCTATTGCAGGATAACAAAGATGTCAGCCATGTCAAAACATATGAGGTTTGTCTGAAGGATAAAGATTTTGTTGAAGGTCCTTGGGCACAGAACAATGTTGAAAATCGGGCTGATTTGTTAGTACTGGTTCCGCCGCCCCTCTGTGGTGGTCTTACTATCGTAGAAGATAATATAGTTTACCGCAGCCCGAATACATTTAAAGCAATCCCAGCAAGACACGTATGCCATAGTATCATATGAATGTTGTTTTGGAATTACGTGTTGGATTGGTTATGGAAGTATCATTTCGAGTTTTTCATTGTCATTTGTTATAGTCCATCACAAGAGAATATGGGAGAGCAGATCCAGATGGTTCGTATATCAGAAACCAAGGATGCGCAACATTTTTCCATTGAAAATCGCAGTAGTGTGGTGGAACTTCAAGCAACGACAGATCCATAGTGAAACTATAGAATCCGTGATGCGGCACGACGTGAATGTTGTGCCTTGGATGATTATCTTCACCAACATACAAACCCACAGTTGAATAGTTTAAAATACGAGAAATAAAGACACCGAGAAATTTACGAGGTTCGGCAAAAACCTGCCTACGTCATCGGAGAGATATTGCTCTTCACTATGAGAAAAACAGTACAAGTTACACATGAGTTAAATCGACATAACCCAATCCCATATCCCTTGTACACCCACTCACAGAATTTTCCCAAGAGCCTCACTCTACCCCAAAAGTTCTTTCACAAGAGATCTTTCACTCTAGCTCTCTTGATTTCTCTCACCTGTGCCCATGGTAGAGCCAAATGCTCCCACCATCTCTTTGGATGCTTTTCTTTTTCTCATACAAGCCTTCTCCCTCGGCAAGCATTTAAATAAAAATCAGCCCCTTTTTTTCTCCTCCTTTCTTCCACCCGAAAGCCAAATAATTATGGCTTTGAAAAAGCCACAAAACAAGGAACAAATCAAGCCACAAAATAAGGAACAAATCAAGCCACAAAACAAGGAAACATAATCCTCATCATGATGTTCCCTCATCAATTTTGTTTTGTTTCCTAGCCTAATTTGGCCACTATCCAACAATCTCCACCTTGGCCAAATTGTACCAAAATCCATTGGCCTTACGTACCAGCATGCACACTCTGAATCAACCTCGTTGGTCCTGTTCCAATTCAGTCACTGCCAATGCATGTGCAGCTGCTGCAAGCAAAAAAAACATTTAGCTTCAGACAGGATCTCGACACATCCTCGTCTCCTCCAGCAGGTTTTCCTCCTCTTCATTGTCTGCAACTTGGAAACTTGTCAGTGCACCCATTTCCAGCAACACCCGTCGAGCCAGACAAACATTCCTCACACTTCTCATTCTTCAGGACCATCTCATCACCTGTGAATCCCATAGCTCCACCTGCTGCAAAACTCCTGCAACACTTGAGACTATAGATCACCAGGAGATGTGTTGCTTCGAGTACCTAGAGGGCATACTCGAAGTCTTCCGCCACAAAATTGCTGCTACCTGGACCAAGATCATCCTTTCTTTTTCTCAAAGGACAATTTATCTTTTTATGCCCGAATTCTTTGCAGTCATAGCATTGTGGTCCCTTGCCTTTGGAGCTTGATTAGAACCTACTGTCTCTCTCAAATCCTCCTCCCAATTTTCTTCCATGATTCTAACCTTGAACAGCTAAAGCAGTCTCGTGCCCACTATCAACAATGGTCTTCCTCTTTTGTGTATCATAAGACACCAAAGAAGTCTGCACCTGCTCCAAACTTACTGTATCTTTTCCATGCAATAAGGTTGTCACAAGATTCTCATACGAATCTGGAAGTGAGGTAAGAAGTAAGAGGGCTTTATCTTCTTCCTCAACCTTAACATCAACTTTCCTCAATTGATCCAAGTATCCATTGAACACATTCATGTGGTCCATGAGATTCCCGCCTTCATCCATCTTCAGCTTGTACAGCTTCCTCTTCAGATGTAACTTGTTGATCAAACTCTTAGCAATATAGAGTTTTTCCAACTTCTCCCACAGTGCAGGCGCAGAATCTTCATCCATAACATTGTTGATAATGTTATCAGCTATGCAGTGTCGAATCGTGCTAACACAACGCGACTCCAGCTCCTCCCATTGGTCATCTGTCATTTCTTTAGGCTTCCCATCTTTTCCCTTCAAAGCTCTAACCAAGCCTTGTTGAGTCAAGACATCCTTTACTCTCATCTGCCAGAGAGTAAAACTGCCCTTCCCATTAAACTTCTCAACTGAAAACGACATGTTTGTAGTCATCATGGTGAATAATAAATCTGAACCTTCAATGAACCAAAGCTTCCAACAAAGCTCTGATACCAATTGTTGTGCCTTGGATGATTATCTTCACCAACATACAAACCCACAGTTGAATAGTTTAAAATACGAGAAATAAAGACACCGAGAAATTTACGAGGTTCGGCAAAAACCTGCCTACGTCCTCGGAGAGATATTGCTCTTCACTATGAGAAAAACAGTACAAGTTACACATGAGTTAAATCGACATAACCCAATCCCATATCCCTTGTACACCTACTCACATAATTTTCCCAAGAGCCTCACTCTACCCCAAGAGTTCTTTCACAAGAGATCTTTCACTCTAGCTCTCTTGATTTCTCTCACCCGTGCCCATGGTAGAGCCAAATGCTCTCACCATCTCTTTGGATGCTTTTCTTTTTCTCATACAAGCCTTCTCCCTCGGCAAGCATTTAAATAAAAATCAGCCCCTTTTTTTCTCCTCCTTTCTTCCACCCGAAAGCCAAATAATTATGGCTTTGAAAAAGCCACAAAACAAGGAACAAATCAAGCCACAAAATAAGGAACAAATCAAGCCACAAAACAAGGAAACATAATCCTCATCATGATGTTCCCTCATCAATTTTGTTTTGTTTCCTAACCTAATTTGGTCACTATCCAACAGTGAACACCAAGATCTCCGTCTGTGGATTTGCAATGAACAGTCAAGTTGAGACCTACACCCAAATCATTTGTCAGTTTAACATCAATATGCATTGCATCAACACATCTAGTGCTGTTGACTGTTACGAGAAATGTCAGAACCAAGAGAAATGCATTATTTCGGATGTGCGAAGCTGAAGAAGCAGCCATTCTTTGTTTATGAAATTTTCTTGAAAAATGTTAGGAAGATCATATGTAAAACCCCACCCCCGATTTTAAAAGTACTTTCGGGTTTTTATTTGAAAATTATTTTTAGGGCCTTAATAGGTACGTCCAAGGGGCCCACCTCGTTTTTGTGTCCCCCGACCTCTCTCCTCTTTGTGCTCCCTTGAGCTCTCTTTCTCTCCTTCACCTCTCACTCTCCCTTAACTCTCCTTCTCGACTCTCTCTACGGCCTCCTCCCCTGAGCACCTCACACACACACGCAAGCACCTATTCCCTCCGGCGAGCACCATCAACCACCTGGACCTCCCTATCGTGACCCCGGGCCACCATGGATGTCCTTCTCCTTCCCCTTTCACAGAACAATGACACCGTCACTGTTCAAAGTGTGCTCCGGCGAACCCCGACATAGGTGAGCTTCGAAACCACTCTAAAACTTTCCCTTTTCATCCTTACTGTTCTTTTCTGATCGTATGTGTATGTTGTGGACATTGAAACATCGAGAAATCACCTCGGATGAACTAAACCAAGTTTCCGGTGAGACCCGGGGCTGCCAGGCCGTTTTCCGATCACTTGCTGGTCACAACTAGCCACGAGGAAGGTATATTTCGACTCTCTATTTCCCGGGCTTCATTTTGGTGTTTTGAATTGCTTGAAAAGGTTATGTTTCGAACTCCGTTGGAGCTAAGGAAGGTTCCGGTCGTGTTCCGGCCTTCTTCCTCTCGAGGTCCGGCGGCCCACCTAGCAAACCGATGGCCTTTTAAGGCCCATCCCTAAAACCCTCTAAACCCAACCCTTTAACCCAAAACCCTTTTAGTTTAGGCCTTTCGGCCTAGGACCTTTCGGCCCAAACTCACCAACCTAGCCCACCGGATGGAATTTTTCTGGAATATTCTCCTGTTAACTTTTGTTGACTTTTCGGAAATTTAACCGAGACCTTTCTAAGGGTAATTCGACATCCTAAATCCGTTTTCCCAAATTCAATTGTTATAATTGAGTTTTATTAATTAGATTCTTTATGTGCTTAGGTGCAATTAATAGCGGCGATTCCGTTATTCCTTTTTGGTACGGCCTTTCACAAACGGAGTATGGTGAGTGGACCCCTTCTAAAATGCATGTTTTAATAGTAGAAATGCATACATGAAAAACTTGATTTAATGATTACGTTTTATGAAATGTTCTATGAGATAACATGTTTACTGAGGTTAGTTTGAATTATACTATTTTTCTCTATAACCCATGTTCTTTATAGGATATCAAATGGATGACGATATAATATTTAGAACATGTTTTCGAGCACCTCTTTATAATATAGATGATGGATGACCTTATACTATGAAGTTGATTTTCAGATATATATATATATATATATATATATGCTCAATGATTTTGTACTTACCTAGTGGTCCATATTCTACCTGTGGGCGAGGTTACGATGTTGGCATAGGGCCGAGAGAAATAATCTCTAGCTACGGGCTAAGAGACACGGAATGGCATAGGGCCTAAAGAAATCTCCTTTAGCTACGACGCAAAAACGGGAAGCAGGCATAGGGCCTGGAGTTGAGACTGGACACATACACTAATGATTACGCTTTATACGAGATATGCTTTATGAGAGGTTTTATGGCATGCTAGGGTTTTCAGAGAAACTTATTACTTATTATGCTATTACTTTTCATAAAACTTTGGTGTTAGTATGTTGATAACTGTTTTATTATATATATATCAACTTGGTCCACTCATGTTTGTTTTGCGCCCGCATCAGGACATAGGAACAACGACTACGATCCGACATACGAGGTATTCCCCTACCAGTGATATCGTGCTACATTCTCTCTGCTTTGGCATCTATTGTAATAGCAATTCTCCATCTTACCTTCCGCTTGTATTCTAATTAGAATGTGCTCTGAACATGTCATGCATCATCTTTATGAATTCATTGTCAGCAGTTGAATATTATTTTTGTATTTTAGTATTCATATGAAATTTATATGCATATCGTTACATGTTCTCAGCATTTGCATTCATAAATGACTTGGGTCACCTTCGGGTGTCAACCAGCACGTGACCATCCCGATGTCCCACGGACATCGGATCGGGGTGTGTCATCATATTTATATACTATATTTTGCAAACCAGGATTTCTTTTTTAATGATTTAAAGAATGAATAAAATAATCAATTCTCACATCATATTGTCTACAAAATATGATTTAAAAAATGTATTATTTTATATTTACCCCATTTATGAAGAACATTAATGCTTGTAACTGTTTTTGGAACTACTATACTATAAAATAAATGTTACCAAAATTGATGATGCATGTGAATGATGGTTTTGTGGTATTTCTCTTTACTTATGAGTGGAAGGTCTTAAATTCAATATTCGTAAATGGCGAGTTCAAACCAAATGATTATTGATGCCCATTGTGTGGCTTAGTTTAAATCCTCCGCTCTCAATGTAAACTTGTCATTGTATTAAAAAAGAAAAACAGTGTACATCTATTACTAATTGTGTTACTAATAAGGAGTCTTTATAGAGACAAAAATATATACTACATTTCAAAGAAATCCAATAATTTTTAAATATTTTTAGGAGAGACAAAAATACAAAATACTTAAAGTCCAACCTAAAAACATAAAAATAATTTTTTAAATACCAGTTATACTTTAACAATTATGTTTAAAATATCAGTCATACCCTAACAAATATGAAATTGTTTTACTATTTACTCTAAATAGTAGTTATTTTGTGCAAGTCCACCCATTTCAAAAGAGAAAGAGTAAGGACGATTACTATTGACAAATATATTTTTTATTTTTTAAATGATATCTCCATTTTATCCTCTACATAACATTATTGCCGTAAATCCTAGCAATTGAAATTTTAATTTTTTGAAATCAGAGGATCCACAAAGTGCCACGTGGCGCAGCACCAAAATTTTCAATTTTTTTAACTAATCAATAGACCTTTATAAATCCAACGACTGTAAATAGATCAAATTTTAGCCGTTTGGCTCTCCTCGGCTTCACGTGGGGAGGCCCCTTGTCTACTGGGCTTCATGCGGGCGCAAGCTCTAGCTTCAGTTGGCAGGGCTTCTGCCTTTCACCCAATTGCCCCTCATTTTTTTCCACCGGTGGAGCCATTTTCTTAGGACAACAAAACAATTTAACCCAATTGCAAGGGCAACTGAGGGCTGCTGAAAATGCTCGTAAAGTTGGTTTTCGAACTTGTAAAATATATGATACATGCGGTCAAGTAGATGGCTTACACTCCTCCATTTTCTAGTGCCCTATCTTTCCTGTCTCCTTAAATTCATAATTTTAATGACAAAAAAAAAAAAAAAAAAAAGGAGCACAATAATAATTCATGATTTTGCAATCCAGTTACTTCAGAAGAGCTTAGCACCAATTTATAGAATTTGGTTGCTAAAATGGGCAATTGATAGGTTGATGCAATGTGGTTTTCCTCAAATACGGCTAGAACTATTTATCACAAAAAGGGAAGAAAAAACGAACACATGAGGTGATATGCCTCCCAGTAGGACTTTTTATTGAAGATCAGATAGAAAATACATATTTTGTGAACTGCTTAGAGCATCCTCAATGGGGGTTTTATCCTTCTTGAGGCTATCACATTTGTAGCTCTAACGAAAAATTTCACTTACAATGGGCCAAAAAATGGGGCTACATCCATCACATGGGCTAACAACTTCAATCTTTGGGTAGCAAAAAGTTAGGTTACATCTAGCCCCAAAAAGTAGGAGGACCCAAAGTCTTGTTTTTTTTGTTTAGAAATGGGTGAGCCCCATTTTTAATTCCAAAACCTGATATTAAGGGTTTATTTTGTTAACCGTTTGGAATTTTAAGCATTTATTTTCAACGTTTGTTTGATTAAGAAAACATATACAAACAATGACCATTTTTTGTGTGATTGATTAGAAAAAAAATGTAATGCTTTGTGTTTAATTTTCTAGATTGAAAAATTCATAAAAAAGTGATGAAATTTAACATTGGTAGTTTAGAGACCTAAACCAAAAATATAAACAAACAACATAACTAAATTGTAATAAGATAACTCAATCTAATGGTTGTTATGAAATGAAATCTTTTCTTGTTTCATTTCATAGAAACAAACAAACCGGTGAAATTGAAATAAGAGAGCCTATAACAATAAGAGTAGTTTTATCTAGACCTAAAAATTATCTTTCTACACACATTAAGAAAAATTATTCTTCATAATTCCCATTTTACCCTTATGCAAAATAATCTTTCTACACCCATTTTCAAACAAACGGCTGAAACTCATCCCTCACAAGACATAGCGCCACCACCCAAACCACCACCACGTGCCTCCCTCTCAATTTTATCTTCGCTGCCATTTCCCTTAACAAAAGTTATGTCATACTTGATCCCGACACCTACACATCCTGTTACGTCTTTAACTTCTTCGACGACAAGTTGTTCACGGCGTTCGCCAACGAAGATGCTTAGTTCCATCTCATTACCGACACGCTTCATCATCGCCAAGGTTTGGTCTAAAGTGGTGGTTCCAGCCCCCATCGTCGTCGCCAAAAACACCAGGGCGAGATCTGATCCTATCGATCTATAGGATACAAATTTGAGAAACAAGAGATAAGGATGATGAAGAAGTGAATGAGGAAGAGAAACGATGGCGATGATGGAAGATTTGACGGCATCTGGCATAGTGTCGCCGAAAACAATGCTGTTTGGGTTTTGTTCTTTTTTTTTTCTTTCAGTTTTTGTAAGGGTAAAATTGAGAATTTAAGTGCAAAAATATTAAAGTTGGGTGTGAAAAGAGGATAGTTGGGTTCAAATAAAATTTTCCTAGTACTAAATAAGTGATGAAATCTAACTTTATCAGAATTTGAATTTTTTTATTAGGTTAAAAAGTTCATAAATTTGATTTAAGATAACACGTCCAAAAATCAAGTTAAGAAAAGTTAAGGCAAAATAAATTTATCCATCTTAAAATAAAGTTAAGACAAAATAAAGTTGGTTAGAATCATAAAATATTTGCACCTGAATTCCAGCCGTTCACGAACATATCTTGTCTCAAAAATTAAATAAAGGGTTATGAATTATATGAATATGATACCTAGATCAAACACATTTTCTTCAACCATAGAAGTCAGAAAAATAAAAAGGAAAACCATCAATAATGCTATAAGTTAATGGCTTTTGTTATTTCTTGTTTGTTTTCCAACCAAGAGATATTGCCAAACCATTTATCACAAGGGGGAAAGAAAAAGGAACACCTGGGATAACCCTCTCCCAGTAGGACTTTTTATTGAAGATGAGATAGAAAACACATATTTTGTGAACTCTTTAGGAATCCCAAGTGTAGCAACGCTCTTTTGTAGCCCCGCTCTTCTTGGTTCTCATGCACAGGCATTGCTATTTTATGCTCCAAGGACAATAATTTCGGCATAAATTCTAGTATCTAGATTGTTCGTATATTAGGAACCATGGATATGTAACATTTTTCCATTTAAATTGGCAGTAGTGTGGTGGAACTTCAAAAAATGATAGATCCATAGTGAAATTGTAGAATCCGTTATAAGGCACCACATGAACACCAAGATCTTCAATGGATTTGCAATGAACAGTGAGGTTGAGACCTGCACCCAAATCATTTGTCAGTTTAACATCAATATGCAGTGCACCAACATATCTAGCTGTGCTGGTCACAGTTACAAGAAAGGTCAAAACCAAGAGAAATGCACTGTTTCGGATGACTGAAGAAGAAGAAGCAGCCATTGTTTGTTTATGAATTATTTTGGGTGCGTTTAACGTGCACCTTTTTTTTTTATAATGCATATTTACTCCATTCATGGAAAGTATTCATTCCGTCCAACCGTTTGGTGGATCAAAAAAAAAAAAAAAACAAATAGTATTATTATACTACAAACAGTATTTAAAATTTTGGAGTAGGTAGAAATATCGATATGCAAATTTATAGAAATAATGATGGATATATCGATATTGATATTGGTTGTCTTTGGCACAAATTATGGATTTGTAATTGGGTGGATGTATCAACTCATTTAGTCGAAAGTAAAGAAAAATTTCTTCAAAAAAATTCTTAAATTTAAATCTGCAAAGGATTCCGGCAAAATTTTTGTACTGAGTCAGTAAATATCGTCTATATTCATTGATTTCTTATATCTCGCCAATATAGGGGGAAGTTTGCATTTCAAACCCAGCTTCCATGTCGATCCTAGGTTTTTTGATATTTCTACGAAATTATTGACAATTTTGTCGATATTTAAAACATTGACTATGAAAGATGGAGGGCTTAATTACATTACTAATAAAGACGGATTATCTACTAAACACGAATCCAACGGTTGATTTGTTCATTCAAAATGAATAGATGATTAAACGTCTTTAAATGATAACAATATGCCCAGCCCTCAACGGATTGAGATATCATTCAATGTGCCTGGAATATTGAACAACATACCAAGTGTAACAATACAATTGGTTGAAAATTTTAAAAAATTATTTTCAACCAATCGTATTATGAAGCTTAGTTGGTTAGAATCATAAAATATTTACATCCGAATTCCAGCCGTTCACAAACATATCTTGTCTCAAAAATTAAATAAAGGGTTATGAATTATATGAATATGAAACCTAGATCAAACACATTTTCTTCAACCATAGAAGTCAGAAAAATAAGAAGGGAAACCATAAATAATGCTATAAGTTAATGGCTTTTGTTATTTCTTGTTTGTTTTCCAACCAAGAGACATTGCCAAACCATTTATCACAAAGGGGAAAGAAAAAGGAACACCTGGGATAACCCTCTCCCAGTAGGACTTTTTATTGAAGATGAGATAGAAAACACATATTTTGTGAACTCTTTAGGAACCCCAAGTGTAGCAACGCTCTTTTGTAGCCCCGCTCTTGCTGGTTCTCATGCACAGGCGTTGCTGTTTTATGCTCCAAGGACAATAATTTCGGCATAAAC